AGGTTGGGGGGAAGGGTCTTTGTTAGACAGCTCAGAGTGACGTCATCTCCCTCCATCACAGGGAGGACAGGACTCTGCAGGATCACTGATCCACCTCAACACAGAGACAAACTACAGCATTTCATCCATTTCCACACAGCTTCATCAACACTAACTCCACAGTCTGATCTTACCAGCGACAGTGAGCTGGATGCTGCTGCTGGCTGCTCCCTCTCTGGACGAACACCAGTAAACTCCACTGTCATCTACAAAGAGGCTGCTGATGTTACAGTACGGACCAACATGTTTCCCCCATCCATATCCACACTCTGACTCTCTTCTACTTGTGTTCCTCCATACAGTCCATCCAGCAGAGCTGTTGTTCTCCTCACAGCTCAGAGACACAGCTTCTCCGTCAAAGAACTGAGATCTGCTGGGACTCACAGTCAGAGCAGCTGGAAGGAATAAAAGTTTTCTAATGTTTATTCTCCAACTCTAATATTAAAATCCTTTATTCTGTCTGAAGAGTTTTAATTCTGGTAGAAATGAACCAACCTGCATCAGTTATGAGGCAAACCAGTGAAGTCACAACTGAAAAGAATTCACATTTATTGGTTATATCTGATATTTGTTATATTTTATATAATTTTACATTAGACCATAAAAGTCAAGCTGAAATGACTCATTATCAGCACTGAGGTCAACACAGCATTGCAAGAAAATAAAGATTTGTCTTTTTATAAAGTTATGTTTAAAGCAAGACAAAAGCCAATGTATAAATGTAATGAGTTATTTAATCTTTGATCAGATGAGTGGATTCCTTTCTCTAATCATAGGCAGGTTCTTTACTTACAGAGCAGATAATGAAGAGATGTTTCCATCATTGTAGCTCTCACTGGTCTGACCACTGATCATGCTCTGCTGGAGGAGCTGCTGCTGAATAAAAACCACCCTCTTCCTGGAAACTGTGGCTGTGTGTTTGAAATGCTTTGTGTTACCTACTGAGGACCTTTTTTTGTCAACAATGGGTGGTGAGGTTGCTTGAGGACCCAGATGCAGAGACGAGTGATGCAGCGACGAGTGAAGCAGAGATGAGTTCTGACAGATTTAATTATAGAACATAGGTAACAGAGGCAGCAATCCAGAAATCCAACTTAAAATATTAAACATACCAAAAACCATGACATCAGGGGGGAACAAGCATGAGGAGCCAGGGAGAGACAAGCTGAGAAGACAATTACAGTAATGACAAGTAACCAGCACTGAGTGACATTAGAGGTGGAGTATTTAAGTGTAACAGAATAAAGGATGGAGTAAGGAGCAGGTGTAAGTGGAACTGGTAAGAAGGAATCAAAGGGGGAAAAAAACAAGCACAAGGGGCAACAGAGAGTAACTAAAGAATGCTTGAATATAATGGAAAATAAATCAAAGAACAAAACAGAACAACTGATAATAAAAAATGAATACTCAAAGTCACAACAAATAGGAAGAACCATAACACTTTTAGTTTAGGTACTAACGTTCTGAGGACCAACAGGCCTAATGGGACCAAAGGCTGGTCCTAATGTGGTGGACCTCCATCTTTATTGTTAGGGAGACCATTTAAAGACAGGATGTGAACTAAAAATAGGTTAAGGGTAGTTATATACTGATTAACACAGCATTCTACACTTTCTGCTTTAATTATGTAATGCATTTTTTTAAATAATACTTGAAAGGATTAGTGATAATTTACCTTATTACAATGTTCTGCACAGCGGCTCCCATAGATGGTTCTACGGATCACTGATCATCTGACTCTCTTCCACCAACATCTACCATCCACTACCTGAAAAACCTTCTGCATATTCTCCTTCACTACATTAATGTTTATTACCTTCTCTGTACTTCTATCCTATTTCTCCTTAGGGAAAGCTTAAGTTTAACATTTATGGTTAGGTGCTACTCAAAGTGTTTGTTGCTGAAAAAAACTGGTGCTGAGACTTTAGACCCATGACCCGGTACTGCCAGATTAAGCAGAAGACGAGTTCTAGTATGTTCTGTAGTTTAAAGCAGTTGTTTATGTAATTGGTATTGTGAATAATATGGTTAGTTTCCTCATATAGAGGCAGCCCTCCTTAGTACACAGGAAGAAGGCGGTTCAACTTGAAATAACTTCCTGAACAGTAGAAACAGTCAGGTGAACTAGGAGGGGAACATCTCTACCATGTCTGCTCTGTAAGTAGGAAATATTTTTAGCGGTTTTCTCTAAAGCGATCTTTTCTGAATGGTTGATTAAAATTATTCAATGACAAAAATAATTTGGCTGAAATCAGTTAAAAGGGATTTAAAGATTGATCACAGGCTAAATAAAAATTTTATTTTATTTAAACTGTTTTAAATCAAGAAATCAGATCTACAACATTTTGAGTTTAACATATTTCTTCAGACTATGTAGTCTAAGTGAGCATGTAGTCAGAATTTTGAAGATTGAATTTAATTATTATAATTGTGTCTTCAGGCTGATCTTTCTTCACTGTTTCTTCACTGCAACACAACAAGGTTGGTAGTTTTGTATTTTATCATCTAAAATAAATGCAGTTTAACAGTTTTGGTTCTTTTGAAAATAATGTGACTGGTTGTTTTTTTCAGTCCTTCCAGCTCCTCTGACCGTGAGTCCCAGCAGATCTCCATTCTTTGTTAGAGACTCTGTGTCTCTTAGCTTTGAGGAGAACAACAGCTAATATATAGTGATGTAAGAATATTAAAGGGACATCTATGGAGAAATGGATTAACAGAAAGTAATGATTCTGTGTATGTGGTCTTGTTTTTAGTGACTTTCTTAGATTTTGATCTGATTAATGTTAATGGTTTTACAGCTCTTCAACTGATTTTGGTGGTTGTTAATGCGGCCATGTTTTTATCACTATGCAGGGGTAAATTTCTCAGAAATATGCTTGGGTACTTATATGTACTTGTGTCGACCAACGACTGCTCCCTGTGAGGAGAAATTCTCCTCTTGGAGTGGGGGTTTAGGATTAAAAGTAGCAAAGCACAATTATGTGTCTGTGCTTATGGTTGTACTTGCTGCTGAGAGAACCTTTTTTTATGTTAGGTCATTTTATGTAAATGTATTTAAATTCCTTTATTGTCCTACAATGGAGAAATTCACTCTGCATTTATAGCTTAATCTTAATATAAACATATCTACTCTGGTCTAGTATTTTACTCTACTATGATCTATTGTGGTCATTATTTCCATTCACACATTGACAGTAGCTTTTTAGTGTTATGCTTTGCAGTTAAATGTGTTAGTTTGCACAGATGGGTGTGAGACACTTTGTGGTTTCCACTTCTTAGTTTCACACGTCTGACTCATGAGCAGCAGAGGTGTTAAAAAAAAGTGAAAAATCTACCTGTTAAGAAAAGTCTTCATTTAAAACGAAACTCAATTCAGTGTGTTTTCAACAGCATAGTACTTTTATTCTAGTGGTACCTGTTAGAGATCGGCCTCCACTGAGGGAACTGAGGGCCCTCCTTAGCCCTCAGTGCCACTGTTCTGCAGCTTTTCCATGCATCCCTGCTTCAGCACACCTGAAACTAACGGCTAAATTATCTCCTTGGTATCTAAATAAGTCTAATGGAGGCCTGGAAATTAACCCTTTATTTGATTCAGGTGTGTTGAAGAAGGGACGCATGCAAAAGCTGCAGAACAGAGACGCTAAGGACTGACGTTGCCTCCCGCTGGTCTAAATGCTTTTCTCTGCTAAGAGCTCATCTCCAGCCTGTTAGCTTTAGCATCAGACTTCCAGAAGTTTCATGTCTCTCTCTTTCTCTGCAGAGGTTTAATGTTCAACACTCACAATCAGATCCTTAGTTTATCTACATTTAGTGACAGATTTCTGTTAAACCTAAATAAAGGCTTCACCCCTAATATGGAAAACATGTTATTAAACTCTTGTTGTTTAGTCAGTAAACTTAATGAGTTTCTAAATGATTTGTCTGTAGAGCCGTGTGTGAACAGAGGGAAGAGCAAAGGACCGAGCACACATCCCTGAGGACCTCCTGATCTCAGCTTAGTGTCCTGTCTGACTGCTAAAACTAATCTTCTTTCTTTCTGAACATTGATTTCAGTAAATATCTGATTGAAAAGTCTAATTTCTCTACTTGTGGTCATAGATCTTCATCCTAGATCTGATTGTCATGATTAACTGTGATTTATGGCCAAATGAAGGTGATCAATTAGAGACATTTCAGTTTGTCAGAATTAAAATAAGTTTATTCTATTTAAATGATGAAATCTGTCAGTTTTTCATTTCTTTGCTTTCATCTTCTGACAGATTATCTGTTATATGAGAAACTAAAACCTTCTGAAATGTCATCATGGAGCCATTTTTTAATCAGATCAACCAATCAGTGGTTCCTCTGTCATATAGAGCCTTCTGCCACCTAGTGGTCAGATTGTGTTTTACTAGAGAACAAAGAGCCTAAAATATTCAGAAGTTTACAGCAACAAGCACAAATGTTAAAACTAGATTAACGTGTTTACTGTTAAAGGGAATTAAAATACATTTGTTTAATAAACTGGAAAAAATAATCAAAGTTTACTTTGTTTTTCACATTTATTATTTCTCTGCTTCTATTCCACATGGTGAACAGTAGTTTGTGTTAACACTGAAGAACTTTTTTTTGTCATTTTCTATTCTTTATCATTTTTGTTGATCAATAGTGAATCATCATTTATTTATTTGTGTCAAATATCCAAAGGTTGATCAACAAAAATAAAAATTCATAAAAGTATTTAGAGAAATATAAAAGATCGTGTTTCTATGAAATTATGGCAGCTTCAGAGACTCACTGTAATGTTAAATATTTACAGCTTAACTAAGTAAAGAAGACAAGATTTTAGCTTTTTAATTCAGAATTTAAATGTAAAACTTAATTTAAAAATCAAACCCAATAAAATGTTAATGAGTGTAAAGTTTCTCCAAATCCAGGGAGCAGCAGCGATTGAAGGATGTTCATCTCTGTCTGAATGTGAAAATATTTGAGAGATGAAATGGAGCGAAGCCTTTAATGTGATTAAAGAAACAGACATTAAGTTATAATCTGAGCTCTGAGATTAACTGGAAACCACTGAGGTGATAAAATCTCTGGATGTTTGGGTTTTGGTCCTATTCCTTTGGTACTTTGGCGCCATCTACTGAAGAAAATAAAAAACATCCAATAATGGATGTGAAGAAAAATAATTTTACCTAAATATAATTAAATTTAGCAAAAGAATATTGTTACTTTCTGATTGAAATAGATTCATTTTAAAGCCTTTACTATATATTTATACATAAAACACAAATATAGGAACTGCTGGAACTCTTAAAATGTGAGACACTGATTCTAGCTTCCCTGATACCTGCAGCCCTGAGGATTTTTCCTTTGATTATCTTGTGGATTTCTAACGATCAGACACTTAATGTATTTACTCTAAGATGCTCTATTTCAGTTTATTTCCGAAGTTTCAGGATCTTTTCTGTCTGCAGTGTCTGGATCCACATCTGCCTGTCCTGCATAAGGGGAACTGTCCTCTGCCAAAGAAAGGATGGGAATTGGTTAATCTGATTAACTCACAGTATAAAATTAACTCAGATTAATGAATATCCAGTTTTCTGGATCTTAAAATCCTGGATAAGCAGGAATTTGCCACCAAACTTATTCAGAGTTCTGATTGATGTCCAGGGACGTCTTTAGGATCCTATATTTGGGGGGCTTAGCCCCTGGGAAGATGCCTTAGATCATGTGCAACATGTGCTCAAAACATTTTACTAGAAGGGTCCTGAGAAGATGACTTTTAAATGCAATATCTGCCTCCTTGAAGTTTATAAAACAGTCTCAAGTTAAACTAAGCATGTATTGTTTCTTTATAAATATATTAAAGACTATTTGAAGACCCTCATGTCATCACAGCTCTGTCTCTGTAAACTGGCTTTGCTATGATCTTATCTCAGCCAATGGATCATAATAGAAATGCTACAAACACGCTTTATGGAAACATATTGACTTTATTCAATCCTCAGCAATTCAGTTTGAGGAACAAAGTTTGTTTTATGTGTAAGAATATAATAAAGAATTGTCTATCTATTGACCAAATGAAAGAAAAGCACAAAGAACAGTTCATTTAGACTGGGAGTGATAAAGACCGTTTCAATCATGCTATGTTATTATATTGAAACAACATAGAATCTTTCTAGATTAACACAGCCAGGTTCTGGTTTAGGTTAATCTGAGTTTGAGCAGGAAGGACCAATCATTACACTGTAGTCTGTGGAAATGAATGCTGCTATTAAATATTATTTCTGGATAATTAATTAAAAGATGAGAAGCAGCATGATGACAATAACATCAACAAACTGTTCAGTGATTAACATTCAGCATGGATCAATGAGAACCAATTCAGATTAAATCCATAGTGGTCAAACACTTTAGTTAATGTTCATTTATTCATTCATTGAAATAAGAACAGGAAGCCTAATAAAACCTCCATGGATGGAACCAAAAACTAAACCAGGATTAAAATCCAGAGAGAAACAAACCAAGGTGACATAAATATTAAACACAATAAAATAATGCTGCAGTAGAAATGTGCTTTCAGCTCTGTGGTCGTGGTAAAGATGACCTCGGTGAACCAGGCGCCCTCTGGCGGCACTGACCGCTAATTACACCATGGACCACAGTAGAGAACCATTTAACATCAGAGGAATGAGCTCTTATTTTGAAAGGCTAGAGCAGGGAAACGGGCGTGGCTTGAGTTTACCTGTCAGCTCAACCAGCCAGGTGAGAGTGAAGGTGGAGAGTGGAAACATTGGTTTATTTGATTTTTTTTCTCTTTGTTTTGTATTTTAAAGCAAACTTCCTCCATGTGACTCAGACAGCAGCTAGCAGTGAGCCAGGAGCTGCGTGCTTTGATCCCACCCTCACCTGCTACAGGTGAGTTAGCATGCTAGTTAGCATGCTAGTTAGCATGTTGAAATGAGACCACATAGAGGGATTATTTGTTCAGATTCATCACTAATCAGTTTACAGAGAAGTCACTCAGATAGCAGAGCAGATATTTGGATTGAAATCCAGGAAACATTAAACAGAATTCAAATGATAACAGTTATATTTTATGGGTTCCAGCACACAGAGGAGTTAAAGGAAATAAAATGGCAGATACAGCTGCAAAGGAGGCTACAACAAGAGAAGCCATTGATCTGTCAGTTAAAATTAGAAAGATGGAAACAGAGAGCATCAATAAACAGAGACTGAAGGAAAGCAGGCAAAAGCAAAGGAAGGAAGAGAGGAAAGGAGGAAAGGATGATGGTTTCATCTGATCCAGAGGAGAGCAGCAAGGAACAGAAGAGAAACAATTATATCAAGACTTAGATTTGGGCAGACAGGATTAAACAATACTTTATTCAAAATAGGTAAATATAACAACGGTATGTGTGAAAATGGCTGTGAGCAACAACAAATAATTGAACATGTTATGGTAAACTGTAAGAAAGAAACAATTGAACATGTTATGGTAAACTGTAAGAAAGAAACAATTGAACATGTTATGGTACACTGTAAGAAAGAAACAATTGAACA